CCAGGACCACCCAGAGGTCAGCTCGGGTGCAGTGGGTTCCCCCAGAGGTCACCACAGGTGACAGTGGGTCCCCCCAGGACCACCCAGAGGTCAGCACGGGTGCAGTAGGTTCCCCCCAGGACCACCCAGAGGTCAGCACGGGTGAAAGGGAGAGATGGTCAGGAAGCATCTAGAGTGTCCATGGGTGGCTCATTCAGCTGAGTCACTCACGGGGCCTGGGGCAGCAGCAGGGGCTCCGGGGCCGCCTACCTCCCCGATCATGCCGTTCCACACGCCGCGCACCCTCTTGCCATGCTTGCCATTGGTCACAAGGTACAGGTCGTAGGAGAATTTGACCACCCGGGCCAGCTTCTTGAGGATGTCGATGCAGAAGCCCTTACAGCAGAGTTTGGTGTAGGGGGCTGCATCGCCGCTGTGGCCGCCACCACCGAGAGACCACCAGTCAAGTGTCAGTGCTCAGCCGTGGCCCGGCCTGGCTGCCCTCCCGCAGCCCCAGGCCCAGGTGCACACACTGCCCACCCCGGTGCCCGGCACCCTGCGTGCTGCACACCTGAAGGTGTGGTTGCTTTGTCTGCGGCAGGGCACAGTGTTGGGCACGCAGCCTCCCGTGCCGGGGTCGGGACTCTCCACAATGACAAAGGGCCGCTCTTCCAGCGTGGCCACCGTCAGGTGCCGGCTGTCCACCACGGGCTGCAGGGAGGCGCTGTAGCGAGGCCACACGGGATACTTCATGTGCAGGACACCGTGCTCCCATCGTCCCACCTGCAGAGGGGCACCAGCTCAGCCTGGGGCTCCCAGCCCTCCACCACCCTCAGGGGCGTCTCTGGGTAGGAGCTGCAGAGGGGGACCGGCTCTGGGTAGGACCCACCAAAGCCAAGAACCCCCTCCCTCACTGAGAGGCCTGGCAGCAGGACAGGGGGCGGTGCATGTGGAGAACTGGGGGTTCAGGGGCAAGGGGACAGGCCAGGTTCTCTGCATCTCCTCCTTGAGCCCTGCTGCTCCAATCTGGCTGACACATGGCTGCCAACCCAGCACCTTCCTCGGGCCAGATCTGCACCTGCAGTGCCCCACAGCTTCCCGGTGCCCACCAGCATGGTTCTCAGTGAGCACTCGTGGGCGGGCCTTCACACTCGCCCACCAGCACACCCCAAACAGCCCCACCACAACACGAAACCCTGTGCCTTGTCTTCTGTCTATACAAGGCTGGTTCTTCTTCTTGGCGACGTCCTTATTCAAAACTGCACAGCCCAGCTCAGATACCCGCCTCTCCAGGAAGCCTTCTCGGCTCCCTCATTTCATTGTTACTATCACTGGGCACCACTGAATTCCACCTCATACACAGCAATTTCATGAGTGGAACAGCCCCACTGGGTTTTCTAGGTTGTAGGGTCAGTGAAGGAGAGGAAGACCCTCAACCAGGTGGACTGACACAGTGACTGCTGCAGTGGGCTGTAGCGTGTCAGAGACTGTGAGAACGGCTTAGGACAGGCCAGGGTTCAGATCTGTTGTTTATAGGGTCTCTATGAGTCATACTCAACTCAATGGCACCTAACAACATTTTTGGAAGCAGACCACTCTCCTGCTGAGCCATTGGGTGGGTTTGAACCATCAACCGTAAGCAAATGACTTACGGGGAAGCAAATGACTTAGGGGAACAAATGACTGCTCCTCCCTTCTAGTCCCAGAGTGCTTTGCACTCAAGCCCTCATCTCCTAGAATATCCCTCCGCCAGCGTAGACGGGCTACTGGGGGCAGGACTGCGTAATAAGAGGGGTAAGTTCTGTAGTCAAGGAGGAACAGGGCAGTGTGGGATCCCACAGCAGGACAACCCACCCACGATGGGGGCCTGGAAGTCTTCCCAGAGGAGACGTTTGAGCTGAGGCCCTGGGAATAGAAGCTGGGGACCACGTAGGGGAAATGGGGGGGCTGGGCTCACCCCCTTCTCACCATCTCCCAGAGGCGGTGCCGGTTGAGCGCGATCACAACCATGGTGGGCTGGACCAGGTACCCACCGGGGCTGAAGGAGAAGTCCCGGCCCTCCCAGGTGACGTTCAGCAGGTGCCTGAAAGGCAGGGGGTGGGGGGAGCAGGTGGCCCTTGCCTCTTCCTACAGCCCTGCCTGGGATAGTCTCCCTGGCTCTGGCTCTCCAACACTAGCATTAACTATTACTTATTGCCAAGTGTTTCTACCCCATAGACCCTCCCACCCCCACCCCGGAGAGGCAGGTAACCTGCCCCAGGCGCACAGGGTGTGTGACCGGTGAGCCCAAGTCCCCTCCCACCCCACAGCCGTTAAGCGCCTACTCGCACTCTACCCCGGCCTGGGCAGAAGCCCACCTGTAGAAGGCCTCCCGGGCAGGGCTGACGGGCCCCGGGTGCCCGCGGCAGTCCTCAGCCGCGACAGGCAGCGCGCCGTGCTGGCGCAGGTAGCTGTGTGCGCCCAGGGCCAGGATGGCCACGCCATCGCGGACCTTCTGGCGCAGGCTCAGGCGCCAGCTCTCGGTGACGACGCTGATGAGGCCCACGGGGAAGGCGGCGGGCGGCGTGTCGGTGCTGCCCAGCGCCAGGTTGGGCACCAGCCACACGTGCCCGGGCCCCACCAGGCCGGCGCGCGCCGCCTCGGCGAAGAGGACCTCGGCCTCGTCGTGCGAGCAGTAGGCCACCAGCACGGGCGCGTCGATCTGGCGCAGCAGGCGCTGCGTGCGCGCTCGCTGCTCGCCGGGGCCCAGCTCCAGGGTCAGCACCTCCAGCAGCCGCCAGCCCAGGTGGCCCGCGTCGGCGACGGCGCGCACGCCCTCGAGAAAGAGCGCGTGGCCCGGGTGCAGGCTGGTGATGACGGCGAAGGCGCTCCAGTCGTACTCCTCCAGCACCTTGAAGAGCACCTGCAGCTGCTGCTCCAGGGACACGCCCAGCTGCAGGAAGGCAGAGCCCGGCTCCTGGGCGGGGCGGGGAGGTGGGCGTGGGGACAGAGGCCACGCCCCGCGCCTCCCCTGTGGAAGCCCCCCCACCCCACCCTCCACTGCGCACCCGGAGCCCGGGACCCCTGCCCGCTGCCTAATTCTCTCCTAAAACCTCTTCAGGTCCCATGAGGTCTCTGCGACCTGCTCACCAGGTTGGAACCACCTGTTGGGACTCTATGAACGCTGATGGCCAGCCCCCCCAGCCATCGCCGGCCTGTGCAGGTGTGTCACCAGCTTGTCACACCCCACACCTATAGGATCAGGATCTCTGGGGTGGGTCTCAGGGCACCCTGGTGCCTGCTAATTTGAAGCGAGGCTGAATCTGAGTCCCAGAGGTGGGGGTAGGGCATCTGTAGTTTTCTAAAGCGCCCTGAGAGCTTTGAACCACTGTCCTGACAGCTAAAATCCAGGGCCCAAAAGCCGGCTGTGAGGTGCCATCCTCCACAGCCCCTGGGGCCCCTCCACGCCTCTGCCGCACCAGAAGCCCAGGCCTTTGCCAGCTGGTGCCCGGGGCGCGTGGAGTCACCTCCTAACGGGGGCGGTAGGGGGGAGCTCCCTGCTCCAACGCTGACCTCCCAAGATTTCCTCCCTCTACAGCTGCTCGGGCCTTTTTTAAAAAGTGAGCCATGGAGAACGACATAAGACAACAACCTAACTCTTCAACAAAGGGTGGAAGAGAAGAGATAGAGCCTCGCAGTTAAAACTCAAAAACCTCATCACCTTCCAGGAGGAACCACACATAGCAGACCCTCCGGCTGCTTTCTGAGGCTGCAACTCGCCCAGGAAGAGACTGCCCATCTTTGTCTGGTGGACTCGAACCTCCAGAGAGGCTGGGCCGTTGGGTTAAAAGGGAAATTCCCAGGGCCTAGCCACCACAGCTCCCCAAGCCTTGAAAAGAGACTTATCAGTCCCATCCCCCAATCACAGTGCACACACTTCATTTGGATCCTGATTCAAACAAAAACCCAAAACCACCAAACCCACAGGCATCTGCCGGCTGGACTCACGGAGACCCTGTAAGGGGGGTGGAACTACCCCGTACAGTTTCCAAGGCTGCGATCTTAAATAAGCACACTGCTGCAGCTCTCTCCTTCCGAGCAGCTGGTGGGTTCAAACCATCCACCTTTTAGTTAGCAGCCAAGTGTTTTAACCACTTGCCACCAGGGGTCCTTGATTCAAATGTCAAAATAAATATTTATGGCATTTAAGAGAGGATGGCTGAAATCTGAGCACGGTCTGAATATTTGACTTTTTTTTAATAGACGTGATAATGTTGATGTCCTCAGGGGAGGTGTTGGTAGTGGGATTTTTTTTTTATTGTTTGGGTTTTTAGTTATCTAACAGAGATGCATTCTTAAATATTTATGGGTGAAATAATAAAATCTCTGCATGCTGCTTCAAGTAACAGAAGAGGGAGGAGGAATGGGAGCAATGATTTTGCAGGGGGTCAGGAGTGGCATGATAGCCACTCGGGTGTTTTCATTACACTCTTCTGCTTTTAGGTAACCAGGATTCTCCATAAGAGAATTATTTGGTTGCTCAGCTTTCCCCTTAAAGTAAAACCCAAATGTCTGTCCATGTGGCCAGGGCTTCACTTCTTTCCAGCCACATGATCCTACTGACCACTCTCCTCTGTGCTCTGGACCTTTCCACTCCCAGGCCCCTCCATCCATTCTCCCTGCCCTGAACCCTAGCCCACTGCTCACTCTCCAGGCTTCAGCCCAGACATCACTTCTTAAGGGGCCTCCTGACGACCTCCATCCAAACAGGAACCCTGGTTAGTCCCCTCCTGCTTCTCCCACTTGCTAACTGCAGATGAATGTGTCTAAGTTTTCTCCCCACAGGACTCCAGGCTCTGGGAAGGTAGGCTGTCTCCACCTGGGTGTCAGCATGCCTCAGAAAGGGACTCGTCAGGAGAGGACTTCTTTCAGGTTAAGGGCTGTTGGCCTAAAGGCTCAGTACGGGTTTGTGCCCAGACTGGCCCTCCACCCCTTGACCAGGAGCCTGCCCACGGTGGGCCTGAGGTTTGGTCATCACAGCCAAAGGGGGGCTTGCCACCTCTCTCCCCTCATCTGGACTCTTCAAAAGCTGCCCAGAATGTCTGTCTCCACACAACCTTCTCCTTTTCATCCATGTTCTCAGTCCCCACCTCCTGCCAGTTTTACCCCATGCCTGCTTCCCAGGACCCCAGTCTCTCCCTGCCCTGCCTTCGTGCCCAGCCCCAGACTCAGCCCGCACCCCGCCCCAGCCTCTCCGGGGACAACATGAGCTTGGCTGGCACCTTGGGCGTGAGGACCACGGCGGAGCCCCCGCTGATGCTGAGAATGGGCACGTGGGTCTGAGAGGAGATGAAGTCGAGGATCTGGGCCACGGCCTCGGTCCCCACGTTGTCCTCAAAGACGACGCCGTGGACGTGGGCAGCCCCCAGGATGCCGCAGATGTGGGTGAGGAGACTGCTGGGGTTGGTGTTGTTGACCCCCACAGTGAGGGGCTGGATCTCCAGGGGCAGGTCCAGGAAGTTCTGGGGAGTGAGGTGGGCACGGGACTGGGCCTGGGGCGACCCCGAGCTGCCAAACACCACGGCCACCGTCACAGCCTGCTGGCCCTGCCCCAGGCCTGGCCCTGCCCAGGCCCCCAGGATTGAGGTGAGAAGCAAGGCCGGCCCCAGGGCCCCACCCATGTCCACTGGAGGGTCCTTCGGAGAGACCACGACAGGTAAGAAAAGGGACACAGATGCAGAGAGAGGCAGATGGACAACAGACAGGAGAGGAAGGTCACACACCCAGAGAGAAGAGAGGAAGGGAGACAGACAAAGAGACAGATGTTAGCTGAGTGACCCTGGAGTATCTTAAAGAGTGGGGATAAGGGAGAAGAATAACCATGATGGACACACCCCACCCTCCATTCTTCTTTAGAATCACACGCTTGGCTAGAAAGGCCAAACGTGAATTCAGTCATCTGAGTCCAACCCTAGGAGGACGCGGGGGAAATATTAGGTTGTTGCTTAAGTGTATAGATCTGAGCAAGACAGACCTGAGTTCAAGTCTCAGTTGAGTGATTTCTTTGCTGTGTGATCTTAGTCAAGTTGCTTAACCTCTCAGAGCCAGGTTTTCTTACACAGGACAATCACAGGGAGACCCTGGGCTACTCATTTAACATGCTCAGCTGTTAACAAATATTGGAGGTTCACATCCGCCCAGAGGCTCATCAGAAAAAATGCCAAATATCCAGCCACAGAAAGCCCTGTGGAACACCGTTGTGCTTTGACACACGCAGAGTCAGCATGAGCTGGCATTACTGAAGAGCAATGGTGTCACTCTGGAGACTAAGATGCGCCTGATCAAGGCCATGGTCTCTGCAATCACTTGCTATGTGTCGAAGAGTTGGACAATGACTAGGGAGAAGGAGAATTGATGCCTTTGAGCTGTGGTGCTAGAGAAGAGTATTGAATGTACCAGGGACTGCTAAGAAAATGAAGAGATTCATCCTGGAGAGGGTTAAAGCAGGCTGCTCCTTGGAGTCAAGGATTCTGAGGCTCCGTCTGACATACTTGGGACATGAAGTAAGGAGGAACTAGTCCTTGGAGAAGGACATCATGCTTGGGAGGGTGGAGGGACAGCGCAGGAGGGGAAGGCCCTCTAGGAGGTGGACTGATTCAGTGACTGGGGTAATTGGGATGGGTGTGCTGGAGACAGATTGGCACAGTATAGAGCAGGGTTTAGGGCTGTTGTATATAGGGTCACTATGAGTCACAGGTGCCTCGATGGTACATAACAACAACAACAACAACAAACAACTGGAATGTTGGCCCCACAGTATCAGCAAGTCTCATGCTGCTGGTGATTGCCCCTCAGCCTTGTGGGGAAGCATTTCCCCACCTGCTGCCCCACACCCACTCTCTCTACTCCAGCGGAAACTGCAAATCCTCACAAGCCTCCCACCAAAGTCCATGCTGCTGGTCAGCCCGGCCGGTTTACCCAGAACCCTTCCCTGTGGTCCTGTCTGGCCTAGTGCACCCACCTTCCGGCCCCGGACGGCCCCACAGCCTGCTCTCTCTGTGGCCAGTTGGTGGCTGCTCTTCAGCCCCAAGAGTGTGACATCACTGCCTTGTCCAGAGCTCGGCCACGTGCAACCCCAGGCTGCCTGCACGTGAGCTGCTGCTCGGCCCCAGTGTGCGGGATCTTTCCACCCAAAGGCCTGATGGGATTCCTGCTGGACACCAGAGCTTTGGATCGGGCCCAAGAGCTGAGCTGGTAAGGGGAGTCTGAGTGCCGAGTGGCACCCACTGATGTCACACTCGCTCCCAGCTGGCCACCGGCCAGAGCTCTGAAACCTCCAGCTCCATCCCCAAGGAAGTTTCTGAACTGGGGCGAATTGAAGGGAGAAGCTAGGGCTGTTCCTGCCCTCCTGGCAGAAATGCAGATAAACTTCTCTCTGGACAAATCTCATCCTCTCTGGAACAATCAGTCCCCAAAGACCACATGGCTCACAGCTCTATCCTGACACACACACGGGGCCAACAAACACTGCTGCTTCAAACCAATAGGAACCTGAAGCCCTTGCTGGAGGCCAGGGGCAGCCCAGAGCCACTGACGGAAAAGCCCTAGGGTTTGAAGGCTGTAAATCCTGACGGAAGCAGCTTTCTCAGAGGGAGCGACTGGTGGGTACAAACCCTTAACCTTTCAGTCAGCAACCACCCCCACCCCACTCTTGTCTCAGACATTCCCAAACCCCCATTCCTGTGCCCTCAGGGCCAGAGAAGATAGGAACGGGTGCTGACTTCCCTAAGGAACCTTCCTTTTTGCCTTCTACCTAATTTCTTTCTTTCTTTTACCCAAAGTCCAACTTCTTGCAGCCCCACGCATGAAAGGACTTCCCTGGGCCTGCTCTGTTCTCTCCAAGGAAGCCAGGGAGCATTCAGGAAAAGTGCTTCTGTTTCCCCCAGGGTTGCTCACAGGATTCTTCCACTCTGGCCAGACTCCAAAGAGACCGTGAGGCCCACTCTTTAGTTAGGACATTGGACTCGATGCATGTGTATCGAGCACCTTCTGTATACGAGGCAGCACTGGGTGGTGGAATGTCACTAGGAGCTTGGGGTGTGCTGTGTAAGACAGAAATGACAGCCCCTGGGCAAGCGAGGGACAGCTGTGCTCAATAAGCAGTTGCTGAGCCTGGAGGCCACTTTCGTATCCATCCTCCAGCCCTCTCTGTCTCTCCCTGAGCCCTGAGCTCCACTTAGGGTCTGCAGAGCACACACAGCGAGGAGGAAGGGACAGACAACTGTTCAACGTGTGATCACTCTCAGGAATTCAACAACAGTCAAAGCCTTGCGCCAGGTGGTGCGATTTCAGGCTGAGAAAAAAACACTTGGCAGAGTTGGGAATACTGCACTCACTGGGGGGCTCCTGGCCCCCCTGTCATGCATGGTCTCCCAGTACACGGAGGTAGAGTATCAGCATGGTACGCTGGATGCCAGGAGATCAGAAGCCAGGTCCTGCCACACCACACCCAGCAGGCGCCAAGCAGAGACTTCACCGCACGGCCAGAGGACATGCTGCTCTAGCTGTGGCCTGCGCAAAGCCTCTCTCTGCCCGCAGCCCCAGTCCCTGTAGGAAATGTCACACACTGCAGGTTCCTTGCCCTGCAGCTTCCCAAGCACATGTCCCCTGCCCTCGAGCCTCACCTCACTTCTCCCTCCCGCTTTGAGCTCGACTGCTGTCCACTCCTGTAGCTGCAAGCCACACGCAACTACCATGGGCACTGGGAACTCGGCTGGTCTAAGAGAGGCCGACTGTAAAGCAACATACACACCAGATTAGGAAGACCAAGTATGAAAAGACAACATAAAATACTTCATTCACGCTTTTTGTGTTGATTCCATGTTGAAATACTACTACTAGGGATATACCATTTAAACAAAATATTTTGTATTTGCTGCAAAGTTGGCCTCCATTCATAGCTGACTCTTGAGAGTTTTCAGAGACAGTAAAAGAGACTGCCCGTCTTTCTCCCACAGAGCGTTGCTGGATTCCAACTGGCTGCCTTGGGGTTGGCAGCACAGCGCCTAAAATTAACTGCACCTGTGTCTTTTAACTTTTTAAAAGCGTGGCTATTAAACCCCAAGCTCACTGTCATCTGATCAGTTCCGACCCAGCATTCTGCAGAACAGAGAAGCCGTACCCCGTAAGGCTTCTAAGAAATGTAAACCTTATGGAAGCAGGCGGCCTGTTCTCCTGCTGGGGGAGTAACTTTATGGAAGCCGGTGGTCTGGTCTCCTTCTGAGGGGGTAACTATATGGAAGCGGGCTGTCTGATCTTTGTGGGGAGGAGCTGGTGCACATAAACATTTTGATTAGCAGATTCATTAACCGTAGTGCCACGAGGATTACTAAACCCACTGATGTCAGATTCCAACTCAGTTCCTCCCTCGTGTTTCCAGGCCTATAAATACTGGAGGAGATTGCCCATCCTTCTCCCCTAGAGCAGCTGGTGGATTCAAACTGCTGACCTTTCGGTTAGCAGCGCAACACTTTACACATCACACGAGCGGAGCTCCTTCGAGAGCTACGAGAAGATGCAAGATTATGCACGTAGACCTCATTCTATCTGCAGCAGATAGTACAGTGTGGATGGAACCCCAAGGCCTCATAGACTCCAAGGGGTCACTGCCCCCAGGGACTGTCTAATGGGAAGGGGTCCTGTCTCAGCAGGGAAGCTGAGACAAATACACCCACACACACACACCTAGCAGCCACAGGAAACCTCCGAGATGGGGTGGGAGGCATCGGAGTAGGACACACCTGAGCTCCAAAGAGCAGCCAGCAAATTCAAGTTCAGAGTCCAGATGTGTGCCATGCCCTGACCAGCCACCTCCATGAGGCAGGAGGGACATCCTGTGGTCCTGCTGGAATCCAGCCTCCTCCGCTAACTTCCCACTCACCCTCATCTCCCCATCTGCCTAGTCTCCCAGCCCCACCAGCCTGAGACTTTCTTCTGGCTCCTGCACCCCCTTTTCCGCTCCCACCTGCTCCCTGAGGCCCACAGAGTCCAGAGAGACACCAGACACCTTAGTCCCGTGGATAGGGCCTGTACACCCTCATCCCAGCCAATATTCTGCCCTCCGGGGACCCCACACCCCTTAGTCTGGTGGCCACAAAGCCCCACAGTGTCCACACCTCCAGATCTTTGTCCTGCTGGCCCCACAGGTTAGAATGGCCCTCCTCTTCTCTTTACGTCAAATCTTACTGTCCTTCAGCCCCAGGCCCTTGCCTGGACACCTGGCCCTGGGCACAAGATTAAGAAGACCCAGGTCCAGGCCAAGGGGTGTGGGCTGCCCCGTAGTGGCTCCCCGACTTCACCCTGGACCAGTGTCCACCCCCTGCCATGGGGTTTGTATAGAGTCCTCTCCTGCCTGTGGCGTGAACACAGGACAGAAAAGGCCCCAGACAGGGTGTCCGTGTCCGAGCTCGGTTCTCGCCCCACCGATGGCCCAGCACGTCAGGTGCTTGGGGCTCCTTTCTTCCCATTCTCCCCCAAGTGTCCCCGGGCCCCGTGAACAGACATGGACTCACACACACTCGGCACCAGACACCCACGACTCCCACCCCCGGGCCTCCGCGTCCTGGGAAGCGGCCTCGCTGCTTCGGGTCGGGGACCCCCCCCCCTGCCCAGACCTCCCTGTCCTGGGGGAGAGCCCCTCCTCGGCCGTCGGGTGTCCCTCCCTCCCTCCTGGAGGCCGAGCACACACGACCCCCCCCCCGGGTCAGGGGAGCAGACAACCCCGCCAGCCTGCGCCCACGGGCGGGGACCCCGACTCCTCCCGCCCCCGGGCTAACGCCCCCCACTCTCCGGCGGCCCCCGCCCCGCAGGCGTCTCTTACACTCGGGCTGTGAAGTGCGGGGTATTTTTAGGCCTGCGATAAATAATTCACAGGGAACGTGGCATCAGGCCGCCCCCGAGGGAGGAGGGGGCGCGGGCAGCGCGAGCCACTGACACCCGCGGCTCAAGGACACTCGCGATGCTGCGGCGGCGGCTCGGGCGCCGGGACCCGAGACACGCCTCCTGGCGGCCG